ATAAAGTAAATAAATAACAAATGATGTGAGTTTAATTTTGTAATGGCCTGTTCCAATTAGAAAGTGCACGCGGCAAAATAATGGGTGAAACTGAATTTTAACTATTTGTTGTTGTCATGTGTGACAATGATACAGATATATATATCTTCAGTGTGGAGAAGTATTACAGATGTAATATTTGTATGATAAAAACTAACTGGCTAGTGTTTGTTTATTTTTGGCACACAAAGGTTTTTACTTTCAAAGAAGTCAACGAATTAGCATATTTAATAATTTTGTAAAAAAATAATTTTGAGCATTTTATAGGGTTGACAATAGCTTGCACGATACTGAACGCGACACGAAACAATTAGAAAAATATTATTACAAAGATGAATGACACGATAAACATAACACACGTTAGAAAAAATAGAATGATTAAAATGATGTAGTGAAATGAAATGATTAAAATAATGCAATTAAAATGATGTACTAAGCATCACACATGGAATCTATATCTATATTTATATATAATGTACTAAGCATCACACATGAAATCTATATCTATATCTATATATATATAAAAAAGGTTGTTGGAAAAATACATTAATATAATGTTTGACCAAATAAATATAATGTTTGACTTACTATTAATGGAAAGTTAAAAAAAAATACATGTGAATCTTTAGTAACAAAATCTGAATCCTATTTTTTGGTAACTAATTTGGAGATTCTTATGGCAAAATTTGAATTCCATTTTTTTCGTATCATATTTTATTTTTTTTGCCAAAATTTAAATCATATATTTTTTGGTAATAAATTTGGAGATTCTTATGCAAAAAATGTGTCAATTAAACTTAAAAACCGTACAAATTGGATACAAATTTTGGAAATAAATAGTTGTATAATTTTTAACCAATTCTTCTAATCTTATTGAATAATTTTTTTAAAAAAAAAGTGTGTAAATTGGATAAAACCACGTGCAATTTTTATTTTAGAATAAAGCTGATATTTGGACGGGATGTACATTCACAATTGTGTCCACATTTTTTGGTAACAAAAGCGGTTCATCTTTGATATATAAAAATTAAAAAAATCTTAAAATATCCTTAAATATTTAACTTATTTGAGATCAAGATTTGTTAGGTCTTTTTAAGATTAGTTATGATTTAAAAGAAAAAAACATTATACAAAATTTCACTCTAAATCTCACATTCACACTTAAGATTTCATAGTATTACTCTAAAATTTGATCATCTTAAAAGTCTCAAATCTTAAAAAATCTCAAAATGGCACTCAAAATTCTAAACGAATACATATTATATGCCTATATCGTCAATTTATAATTATTATTTAATATTATTTACCCGTGCATCGCACGGGCCACATACTAGTATATATAAAGAGATTGTTGAAAAAATACATTAATAGAAAGTTTGACCAAATAAATATAATGTTTGACTTACTATTAATGGAAAGTTCGAAAAAACACATGTAATTATTTAGAAACAAAATCTGAATCCTATTTTTTCGGTAACAAATTTGGAGATTCTTATGGCAAAATTTGAATCCTATTTTTTTCGTATCATATTTTATTTTCTTACCAAAATTTAAATCATATCTTTTTTGGTAACAAATTTAGAGATTCTTATACAAAAAATGTGTCAATTATTTATAAAAACAATTTTAAATACAAATCAATTTAAAAACCGTGCAAATTGGATACAAATTTACGAAACAAATAGTTGTATAATTTCTAACCAATTCTTCCAATCTTAATGAATAATTTTTTCTTTCAAAAAAAGTGTGTAAATTGGTTAAAACCACGTGCAATTTTTATTTTAAAATAAAACTGATATTTGGACGGGATGTACATTCAAAATTGTGCCCACATTTTTTTGGTAACAAAAACGGTTCATCTTTTAAAATAATTAATTGCACACCATATTTATAAAATTTTAAATATTTTAAATCATAAAATAGGGTAGTATTAAATGCCCCTAAAATTATGGGTTTTGTTGAATTCATTTTTGAGAATTTCGACAGATATTAAAGTGAATATGTAATTCAAAATATCTTCTCATTTTATTTTTAATAAAATCTGCATCCAAATTTACGTGTAGTTTTGAAGTGAAAATTTGAAATTCAAAATATCGTCTCATTTTAGTTACAAGAGAATCGGACTGCATTCAACACTTGGACCAATTTAAAAATCATTCCTTAAATGAAGAAATTTATAGATAATTGTTATCTCTACTCAATCACATGATTATTTTCAATATGAAAAGAGACATATTACAAATTAGTGAATCATATATTACCTAATTCAATATCTTAACATTAAGGAATAAATCTATAGTATTATGTAAATCCGTATCTCATATTATTATATCATTAAGAATATATTATAGTTATATTATCAAATCTTTTAAAGATATTAAATCCATATTGTAAGAAAAATAATTCATATAATTTTATAACAATTATAATACACTATTTAACAATATTTATTTTTATTATATAATAAATAATAATTAAATATTATATACTGAACAACAATAAGTAAAACTGTTACTTTCTCTTATATCAAGGAATAAATTTATATGTTAAAATTAAATTTTTATTAGTATAAATATTTTAGTGAAATAATATATTAATTACAAGCGAGGTTTAACATGCTCATATTTAATGTTATTGAAAAAAAACTTATAATAACTCTATTGTTTTTTAGATTTAACGTTGATTAAATGAGGTATAAAATAGATAAGAACTCTATTATTTTTTAAAGTTAAATGAACAAGAGTGTGAAAATAACTCATTTAATATCTTTGTTCCGTGTATCGCACGGGTATGTTCTAGTGATTAGAGAATATGGTAGTGATTGGAGAATATGGTGATCAAAATAAATGATACGATAAGCACAAAACGCAATAAGCATAACACACAGAAATAATTAAAATTATGTGACTAAAATGATGTAATAAGCATCACACACAAAATGATTAGAAACTATATGACCGAAATAAATTATACAATAAACGCAAAATACAGTCCAAATAAAATAAATGACACAAAACTTAGACCCACACATACAAAATAAATAACATAGTAAACACAACAGTAAAATATGATCCGAGATGATAAATTTCATGAAAAAAATTAAAAATAAAATAGCATTCACACAAGAATAGATAGATAAAAAATAAAGTGATAACCCAAAAATCACATTTTGAAATTCACTAATTTCCTATTTAATTGATACTTTTGACATTTGAGTACTAAAAAGTGGAAGCCCAACAGTCGCACCAGTGCTAAACCCTCCACGCCATGGATCCCTTCTCCTCCGCCACGATTGCACGGCAGACATGGGAGCTGGAGAACAACATCGTGGACGCCACCGTCGCCGCCGCCGACTCGTCATCGGCGTCTTCCTCCTCCGCGTCGGACGCCATCTTCTACTACGACGAGGCGGCCCAGGCCAAGTTCCAGCAGGAGAAGCCTTGGACCAATGACCCGCACTACTTCAAGCGCGTGAAGATATCGGCGCTCGCGCTCCTCAAGATGGTCGTACACGCGCGCTCCGGCGGCACGATTGAGGTCATGGGGCTTATGCAGGGGAAGACCGACGGCGATGCGATTATTGTGATGGACGCTTTTGCCCTCCCCGTCGAGGGTACGGAGACTAGGGTTAACGCGCAGGCCGATGCCTACGAGTATATGGTTGATTATTCGCAGACTAATAAACAGGTTTTTTCTACACTCACTTGCGTCTTCAATTTCTTCTTTTGACGTGTTTCTCTTGCATTCTTGTTGAGTTGTAACCTAATTTTGATTTCATGTGGGGATAAATATTTTAACTTCATTGGACCTCCCATTGGCATACACATACCCTCATAAAGGTTCCTATAGTTAACGTTGGGCTAATTTTAAGTCTAATGGGGTTAATTGAATGAGTGTTGAGCTGTCTTAGGGTTCTCCAGAAGTATATGTATTTATCCATATCACACACAGTGAAGTAACAATTTGTGTTTTCATCCCATTTATTCAGATGATTATCACATTCTACACTAGCCTGTTGGCAGATAGATGAACCCTTGTGCTTGATTTTTCTGATGCTATGAAATTTATGTACTCAGACATGCAATGTGGTCAATATATTGGTA